TGGATTTCCTGCGATGATGTTCTGAGGTGTACCACTCATATGGCATCAAGAAACAGTGTAAAGCTACACACACACACACACACATATATATATATATATATATATACACACACACACATATATATATATATATATATGTATATGTATATTCAGTGCAAACATCACATAGTGCAAACCATGTTCATTGGAAAATTTTAAAAAAGAAAAAGGAAAACCAAAATAGGGCACAAGCATTTTTTGCTCCTTGGACTGTGGATTGGCAATGAAGTCTCTGTATCTCTACTGGTAGCCAATAGAAATTTGGGGCTTGAAAACTAGTGTGGAAATTACCACCTTTTTGAAGCACCAGAGCCAAACCACAGGAGTTATGTGGGTTATGAATAACTTTGCCTACACTGCCCAGGGCCTGTTGTGATTCCCTTTTATACCAAGTTAGGTGATCTGATTTCATTGAAATGTGGAGACGTCATTGGCAGCTTCTGTGAAGTCTGGTGAAAGAGATGCTGTCAGGTAGAGCAGCTTCAGGGGCTTCCCAGGTGGTGCTAGTGGTAAAGAACCCACCTGCAGTGCAGGAGACACGAGAGATGCAGGTTCGATTCCTGGGTCAGAAAGATATCCTGGAAGAGGACATGGCGACCCACTCCAGTTTTCTTGCCTGGAGAATCCCATGAACAGAGGAGCCTGGCGGGCTACAGTCCATGGGGTCATAAAGAATTGGATACGACTGAGGCATCTTAGCACAGCACGGCATAGAGCAGCTCCGTCCCTGAAAGGCGTGGAGTTCTGTGGCCAGGACATGATTGAGTCCATGACTTACTGGGTCAGACGACCTTCCATCGGTGTCTTGCCTGCACTGAACCCTGTGCAGATAGCATATCTATGTTGTTAACAGCCACTTCATTACCTATGGCACAGCGCACCACACACATAGGACCTCAGCAAAGATTTGTAGAATCTGTGTGGGGACTGCAGGGAAACACCCTCTGCGACCCTGAAATCACATGGTCTGCCCCCCCACCTCAGGACTCCAAGGATAACCTCTGCTCTGCCCCAGTTCCCACCCACCACCCTAGTCAAGACGTATTTGCCCAGGGCCTGTCCCTTCTCCTGTGTGCTGTTGGGCTGGAAGGAAAGCCTATAAGCTACTTCTGCAGAAGGTGATCCCTCTTCTCAGGGAGAATCTGCATCCTTTTTTCTTTTTAAAAAATGATTTAATTAATTAATTAATTTTTGGCTGTGTTGGGTCATCGTTGCTACACACAGGCTTTCTCTAGTTGCAGACGAGAGGGGGCTACTCTCTAGTTGCCATGCGTGGGTTTCTCCTGTTGCAGAGCACGAGCTCTAGGGGGCACAGGCTTCTGTGGTTGCAGTTGCTGGCTCTAGCGCGCAGGCTCAATAGTTGTGGTGCAGGAGCCCAGTTAATCCACTGCATGTGGGATCTTCCTAGATCAGGGATCGAACCCACATCTCCTGCACTGGCAGGTGGAGTCTTCACCTCTGAGCCACCAGGGAAGCCTAAATCTGTGTCTTAATAAAAGGGGCTTGAAGAGCAAACTCTTTTCAGCCAAGAACAGGTGATGGTGATAATCTGGGTAGCAGGTCTTAGCTCTATCTGGTGCTATCTTGTAAATCCCACCTTGTCACTATAAAAATGATCATCTAATTTTCATCTGGAATTTTATGGTTATATCTTGCCACATTTACATCTTGAATCTGCCTAGGATTATTTTTTTTTTTTCATGATGGTGTTGAATATGGCAAGAGATGCATTTTATTTTTTCCAAATAGCCCATCCATGGTGATGTGATTGTTGGGTCTGTCGTGCTGTGAAGTTCATGGCTCCCACGCCGGTGGTCACCACTCTCCCCATTGCACACAGAAGCTGAGATGGCAAAGAAATTGTCTCGGTTAAGAGAATGAGCTTAAGAGCCTGTGAGATCTGGGTTTGATTCCAAGCTTATCTACTGGGACTTATGGACTTATCTGCTTATGACTTATCTACTTTCTCTGAGCCAGCGCCTCCTGGTCAGGAAGCAGGGTTGGCACTGTCCTGCCTGACTGGGGTGAGGCCAAGATGCCAAGACGGGGATGTTGGATGTATGGTGGGCGTCCCCATACTGGCTGGACCCAGATCCTCAGTGAATGTGGATTCCTGCTATTACTGATCCCTTTGTATTTTCACTGATTCCCTAGAAAAACCGACTGTGGGACTTCCATGGCCATCATCCTCCATTTCATCTCCTATCTTTCTGACCTTATGACCTCCCCCCCAAACTGGCTCTTCTTCCCCACGTTTATACCAACCACCCAGGCATCCAAGGAAGAAAATAAATCGTCTTGTCTCTTCCTTCTGGTCCCACCTGCCATTTCCAGGCCATCATGGTGGCTGTGGGAGTGACCAGAAGTATGGCTTTAGAATAAGTCTGTCCCCACTGCTAAACCAGCCTTTCTCTGCCCAGCTTCCAGGCTGGGCTCTGGCTGCCCCAGACAGACACACTCCCCACCTGCACAAGACGTCTTCGTCGACCTGCTCATTTCGCCAGAAGGTCTTCACCTCATGTGTCTGTTCAATCCCAGGTCTCATGACGCTGCCTCTTAGACAGGACTCCCTCATTTCACCTTTGAGTTTATGCTTCTGCTCTTGCTCCCTGATCGCCTACACCCGCTGCAGGTGGGGTCCCTGTGGGTGGGGCCAGGCACGCCACACACCTGAGCATGGTACCTGGAACAGGTGTATTAGCCATAAGGATAACTTCCATGTCCGAGGTCCTGAGGATGTAGCAGAACCAAGGTTCCAACCTGGGGTGGACTCGTTCAGACCCTGACTACCACTGATTTTCACGGGTGTGGGCTCCCATCACGCTGGTCGGAGTGTGGATGACGAGGAATAGTCATGGTGCTAATAACCATCCACTGAACACCAAGCATGTGTCCAGGCACTGCGCTTAGCATATGCTACAGAAGAGTCACTTTTGTACCCATTGTCCATATAGGATATGCAGGCCACAGGGCCAGAGGTAGTGGACGAGCAGGAGGGAAGCGTGTGGATGTGGGGATGGAGGAGCTGAAAAAGTGATTGCCACACCTCCCTGCAAATCCCCCTTCTCACCGAGTAACTGCACGCGCACGGCTCTGTGTCTGCCACTTGTCTATCCCATGGTCTCCCGGTCCTATTGGGCTGTGACAGGCGGAGCTCAGAGTCCAGAGCTTGGACAGCCAGAAGGAGAGGCCGGAGGTGAGACGTCACGGCCACTCTCCCCATCGCCACTGGCAGCTATAATCTTGGAGATGTTCCAAATTTCTCCCTTTTAAAAAAATTTCCAATTTCATAACTCTCCTTAGGTGTTTTTTTTTTCAGACCCCATAGTGTTTGCAACAACCATTATGGCTCTATTATGATAATACAAGAAAGTTACATTATGAAATAAATGCATTTTAAGGTTTTTCCCTGGCAACATAATGTAAGGATCATTCTGCATGTTGGTACTAAAGAATCAAAAACAGTTTAGTCAGTGGATGTGAACACTGTTTCTTGTCATCCAGTTAATGGGTCTACTGTACTATTTGTGTTCCTTCCAGCCCTGCTGCCGTACATCAATGAAAAATTATGTTTTTTTCCTCTGTGCTACAACACCCGTCATCTGCTCAGGACTGCAAGCCAGACACTTGCCAGGGCCGGGCGGGAGGCTGACATCCGTGGAGTGGGCTGGAAGGGCCAGCGCTACTCCAGTCCATGTTGCCAGGTGGGAATGTGACCCAGGATCCTCAGGTGTTCCATAGGTTACATAGAAGTGGTGGCTCAGATGTTACAAAAGTTACAACCTTCTGAATTTTAAGTGTTGGGTAAAGTGAAAACAATAATTGGTGTCAAACCATGCTGGGCCACGGACTGGCGGCTTTCCCCTCTCTGACGTCTCCCACATCCAATACTTGCTGTGCTACCCCAGTCTTGGTTTCACGGCAGGGTACGGGGGTAATATTGTCTGGACAGCATCTCATCTAGCCTGCCTTGAATGGGATCCTGTAGCTTTGGAGCAGTCTGGGGTTGAGCAGGAGGAAATGTCCGAGTTGCCAAGGTGGGGGGATTCCCATGATAGCAGTGCCACCAGGAGGGATGAGCAGGTCCACCTGGGCCCCCATCCCCCCCCCACCCCGGCCTCCAGCTGCAGGGTCTGGTTCTGTGTCAACATCCTGCCAAGCAGTGACTTCCCAGACCCGGGCGTGGTGGTCGGGGGGAGGGTGGGTGCTTGGGGAATGATCAGAGCCTGGGTGAGCCCTGGGTGAGAGATATTTGGAAATTCAGAGAGGGGAGATTTGGGGGCACCTCACCTGACGTTCTGTGTATCCCTGGAATCTCTGATGGGGTGCTGTTGGGACTGGGTCTGTGGCATGGTTTCTTGTCCTTGTCTGACCATGTGAGCCTGTGGCTCTCTTCCCCAACTATATCGTAGATCCTTAAGGGCAGGAACCAGAGCTTTGAAAATTTTTCTTCCTTGTTCAGTGCCTCACCTTAGGCTCTACATCAGTATAAGCAGCTACTTTCCTGGGGAGGCGCGTGCTGCTGAGCTGCTGGCTTTAGAAAGCAAGGAAAGAGCGGTGGGGGGAGGGAGAGATTGGCCCTTCCAGGGTGGGTGCGTGGAACAAGGGGCAGCTCATTTCCAAGGTGAGAGGTGATGTCTGCCCGTGGAGAGGAGGGCGGGTAGCATGCAAGGTCCTGAGAAGATCCCACCAAAGATCCCGCTTGGTTCACGGGGCTGCAGGCAGCAAACAGAACCCATCTGAAAACCAATATCCTGTTACAGAGAGAGACAGCTGTAATCTGCGGGCACAGTGGCTCCAGGCTCAGCCAGCCAGCCTCGGGGCCACCAGCGCCGCCCCTCGGGTGCCGCCAAGTCCGACTCTGCTGCTCTGTCAACTTTCTTGGAATTGACCTGGAGGAAGAGGGCTGCTGGACCGAGGCCCAGTGTGTGCGGGTGGGCACAGGGACAGCGGCTCCCATCCTAGGGGCCCATGTGGATGCCGGAGGGGCGGGCCCTGCACGTGTGGGCAGTGGGGGCGGCAGAGAGGTCATCTGGGTCGATGGATAGGACAGTCTGATGCTGAGCCCGCCGGGTCCAGGTGGAGTCCCGGAGCGTGGTGGCCTGTCCCACCTCCATGGCCTCTGCTTCTACAGCTGACGTAAGTGGCTGCATGGCCAGAATATGTTGAAGGTAGCAGCCTTCAGCCGCTGATGACAACATGGGGCCTGGCCCCCTGTCTTTCCCCGGAACGCTGAGCAGCATTGCTGGGTGCAGGCTTTCCCCTTGCCAGCTCCCAGTGCATTACAGGTGGACTCAGAGAGGGTCCTGGAAGCAAGAGCCCTGATGCCCTGAGACATGGGATGATGTGTCCCCAGAGTCTGGACCTCACGCCACGGCCCTGCACACTCACACATCCTTCGAGTGCTGCGGGACTCCTTGGAAATGGTCATCATCTTTTCCCCAAACACTTTTCCCCATTTCTGTCTGTGTGTGGCACTCTCTCTTGCGAGGTCCCTGCTTTGCCTTCTGATCCTCCTTCACGAGATATTTGGAAGTTTAGGAAGGAGGGGTTTGGGGAATCTGACCTAGCATTCTGACATCCCTGAAATTCCAGAAGAAAAGATGCTTCTGAGAGTGGACCTGTGGTTCGGCTTCCTGGCTTTGCTTGACCATGCCATCTCACGGCTCTCCTTCCCCGCTCTATTCTGGGGTCCCTGAGGGCAGAACCAGGGCTGGCTTTGTTCTCCTGTCACTCTCTGATTCCTTCTCCTTTCTGATCTCTTCCCCTCCAAGTGTCCGGCCAGCCTCATCATCCACACTTGTCTTCCTTAGCTGGAAACAGGAGCTGTCGCCGCCCTTCCCTCCGTGCTCTGCAGACATGCGACGTGGCCCTTGAGGAGGGTCCCATGTCCAGGTGATGCTGTAGGGAGTCTCAGGGCAGGGGAGAAGGGGGAAGGGCCCCCACACCTGGACCGACCTTCCTGTGCCCTGCCTGGGTGGAGACTTGCTGTCTGTCCTCGGAGACTTGCATGTCGCATGCCTGGCTGGCCTGGCCGGACCCCTTGGTCGGTGCTTTTCCAGACTGAAACTGTCTCTCGCCATCCCCAGAGGCTCTGTTCAGCTGAGCGAGGCCTCGGTCAGCAGCCTGCAGTGTTTCAGCTTCATCTTCGGAATCCGGGGTGAACTGCCATTCCTGATAAGCTTGGAGTGGAGCAGAAAGCTCGCTTCTTGGTGGTTTTTCCGGCGAGGCTTCTTTAAGCCGAGCATGAGGCCTCTGAAGAGGGAAGGCCGCCGTGTTTGCCACCCGAGGGACACACAGACAGCTCCCCAAACCCCGCCACCCTGGAAGTCAAACCAGCCCTTAGGGGCCCTTCGAGGGGAACAGTAATGTGGTATGCTCAGGTGTAGCAGTTGCTGGCTTAGCTGGTCTGGGGTGGTGGTTGGGTCCCACCTTGGCCTTGGAGACTTCCCGACTGGGGAGTCAGAGAGGATTAGGAGTGTGCTATTGACCAGTGAGCAAGTTTCTTTCCTTTCAGGAGGTCAGCTGTCTGAAGCCTGACTCTATGTGACCCAAGGCAAATTACTCATCCTCTTTAGGCCTCGGTCTGTTTGCTCCATCAGGGCAAGAAAGCTCCCAGGCTCTATGGGTAGAGTGTGAGCGGATGCTTTGAGAAAAATAGTGAAATCTGCAATGCTGGTCATCATCAGGATGCCATCACTGTGGGATCATGCCAAGAGACTGGTACACTGGAGTTCTTGTCTTACTTGGCTCAGATGCATCCATCCATCCATCCACCCATCACTCATCCATCCACCCACCTATCTGTCTATCCACCCATCTATCAACCTGACCATCCATCAGTCTGTCCACCCATTCATCCATCCATCAGTCCCTCCATCCATCAGTACATTCATCCATCCATCTATCTTTCTATCCAGTTGTTGATAATGTTAGGCACTACCAGGGCTGCAAAGATGACTGCATTGATGTCCCAGCCTTCAGAAGGCAGGACTCATAATGATGTGCTTGTTTCGCCTGGCTCCCTGCTCCTTCTGAATTTGTCTGATGGATGAGACACAAAGTTTACTGTTTGTTACAGCTCAAGGAAAGCATGATGAATGCTGAGCAGAGGGAGAGATCAGGTCTGACTGGAGGGATGGGGAAAGGCTTCAGGAGGTGCCTTTTAAGCTGAGTCTTGAAGGCTGCTCCAGTGTGGATGCAGTGACGGGGAGGCAGGAGAGCCTCTGTGTTTTGAGGGGACAGAGATGAGGCTTGATGGGCATCTCTCTTAAGGGTCTTCCCTTAGTGGAGGGGCTGAATTTTGACCTCTTTTCCCACCTTGGTGCCCAGCCTCCCATTGGTACCCTATGGGTGTTGACCCCAGTTTGAGTCTTTGCTCCTTTGTGTCTTCGCAAACATTCTCCATGTTGGACAAGGGCAGCTTAAACACAATCACACAGGGCAGTCAGAGAAAGGCCATCTCTGCCCAGCCCCTGGAGAGCTGCTTCTGCACCCAGGTGGGATTCTCAAGCCATTAGCATGACCACCTCCATAGATTTCAAAGACTCAGGAGCATCAACACCCAACGGCTCCGTGGGTGATGGAAAGAGGGAGGAGTCAGCTGAGGAGTCCATGGGCAGATCAAAGGGTTGGCCTCCTGGGACCACCTTTCCCCAAGCAAGCTTTCGGGACACTTGGCCCAACTTAATGAGGGCAGCAAGCAAAGTTGTGGGGCTGAGTGACTGGTATGCATTGCTTTGTTTCTTTCATTAATTCCTGCTGCCATTCGGGATGCAGGGATGAACAATAGCAGGGGCCTGTTCAGATCAATACCAGATCGCTGATAGTGCCTATCTGTTCTTGGGGCAGATTATTTGATAAATGGCGTGGTCCATATATTTTGACAGGTGTTCGCCGTACAGCCCAGGCCAAGCCGGTTTAGTGGAGCCCCTTCATGGGAAGCCAGGAAAGCAGAGAGAGTATTTCCTTTTTTGGTAGAAATCCACATAGAAATTGTGGCTGGCTTTTAAGCTATAGATAATGAATTTCTAGCAAGAGAGGGTGGGAAGGGGGACAGAAAGGATCTGGACTTTACTGCCCCCCACCAAAGAATTATTTCCACCACAGCATGGGGTTTAGCTGGGTCCTGGCTTGGATTGCGGCTCTGACAGGGGAGAATGTGAAGGGTTTTATTTTGAAGGCAGGGCAGCCACTGATGGAGTGACTGGTTTACAGGTGAAAGAAGCTACGGTCCCCTGAGCTGTGGATGGGCCCTTGGGGTAACACTGATGGCTGGAGGCGGGGCCACAGAGAGTGAGTGATGCCTGTCTTGGTGGGGTAGTGGATAGTCAGGGGCTGGGCAGGGGGCTGAGGTTTCACAGATGAGTTCGGGCAGACAGGGCACTGTGTAAGGTCAGAGCTCCTGGACCAAGGAAACTGTGCTGATGGATGGTTGTCATGTCCAGTGGCTCTGCACCGGGCTAGCATTGGCACTCTCTTGTCAATTCCTTTTGTGGCTTTCTCACTCCTGGGTGTTATGTTCTGCAGTTCAGTCTCAAGGGCTAAGTTTCCAGGCCTGAGAGGTTTGAGTTGCCCCCACCTTCCTTGTTCAGTTTATCCAGGGCCGGCCACAGAGTGTTCCCAGTGTCGGGAGTGAAAAGCGAAGGTACCAAAGGGACCTGGATCAGTGCCTGATGGATAGACAGAGTGAGGTGGGCAGGTGACACCTGCAGGGCCACATCTGCCCGCATCTCCAGCCCCTACTCCTGGGTCCTAGGGAAGCAACTGGAGCTCAGAGCATCCTTGAAGACAGCAGGACATGGTGTGTTGGCGGGGGGGGGGGGGGGGTCACAGAGAACAAAGTGCTTCCATGGTGTCACCATGTTTGAACTCCCAGCATTCCTGCAAAGTGGGCTGGGCATTCCCGCAACGTGGGCTGGGCATTCCCCGGCCCCGCTGACACTGACCGCTCAGTGATCGCCACCTGGGAAGAGGTCCCCTGAGCCTGTCTGCCTGCTCTGCCTCCCAGGTGAACGGTGGCACATGGACAGCAGCTGGGGAACCAGGGATGACTCTGCCTTCTTAGCTCTGAAATCCATGGGCATGTGCTAAGTTGCCTCAGTGGTGTCCGACTCTGCGACCCCATGGACTGTAGCCCTCCAGGCTCCTCTGTTCATGGGATTCTCCAGGCAAGAATACTAGCGTGCGTTGCCATGTTCTCCTCCAGGGGACCTTCCCCACCCAGGGATCGAACCCGTGTCTCTTATGTCTCCTGCATTGGCAGGCGGGTTCTTTACCACTAGTGCCACCTGGGAAGCCCATGAAATTCATACTCCCCCTCAAAAAAGTGGCAACCTGGAGGCCCTGAGGAGCCATCCTTCTTAGGATGCAGAATCCTTTTCCAAGGACTTATTGCTGAACGAAAGGCAAAATTACACAGGGGATGGTGACCCTTGTCTCCCAGAGTATGTTGAGGAGGTTGGGGCCATGATCTATGGAATGTCGGGCATTAGATTTTAGACTTTGTTTTTAAAAATCTCTAACAACCTCCTAAGGAATGATTTGACATCCTTAAGTTCAACACTGGCACAAAAAAAGCTTATGGCAAAATTAACATAAATCATTAGCATTAATCATGCAGGGTTATTGATAGCCGTACACAGGCATGTATCACAATCCTGGCCAGGGACTCGGGTCAGGCGATATTTCTTCCAGCTGTCCCGGCGGCCAGCTTCGCCACATATGGTGGTGGAGCTGGCTTTCTTTTCTAATTTTCCTCCTCAGCTTGAGCTGTCAGAGACACCCCCTCTTCCCATTCCCTTCTCCTCACGCTGGGCACTAACTTCATTGTCTCCTCTGCCTTTCCTCTCTCTCTTTTTTAGAAACCAGATTTCTAGTCTGGGTCAGAATCCATCAATGTCTGTGGCTGTCACCCACCATGTGACTAGTGGCAGGAAAATAGCTGGGTGACAATTAGCAATGGGTGGCCTACATAGATCAGGTTCAGTTTGGTAGCCTTCACTTTTACTTACACATTCATCTCAGAAGCTGAGAAAGACTCCCCTGCGCCCGCTGTCTGGATGCTGATCTGCCCTTCCCTTGCCACGTACTTCCTCACCAGCCCAAGATGCTGGGGATGGTGGAGGGTACAAAAGTAGCATAGAGCAAGCAACGGGGTTTTACAGTCACTGGCAACACTTTGAAATGTAACAGCAGGACATATGTTATCTTCATTGAAAAATGAGGAAGGGAATTCTGTTGG